GGTTATGAACAAAAAAACCGTTGTCGTTGTGGCCCACCGTTTATCCACATTGCTTTCCATGGACCGCATTCTTGTATTTGATCAAGGTAAGATCGTAGAAGAAGGAACACACAAAGCATTACTGAACAAAAATGGCCTTTATAAAACCATGTGGAATGCTCAAATTGGTGGCTTCCTTCCTGAAACTCTTTCTTAAGGCTTGAGACGTTTAAAAGTCTGATTGAAAGACGGGCAAATAAGACGTACCCTTCAAGGAATTGGATATAGGGGGACATTATTCCATGAGAATACTTATACTTTCTTTAGCATACTTGATTTTTACGCCAACACTTTCCTTTTCTGAAGAGTTTCAACATTTGAGTGGAAAAAATAAACGCTGCCCCGCAAACCTATATGGACGAGATATAAAAGATATTGCACGCACCGAAAAAGAAGGATTAAAGAAGGGAGATTATACCTATATCGCCACGGCCCCTTCTGGAGGACTCGGCGCATATGCAACATACAAAGTGCTTGCAGACGATGACCAGACCACTTTTAAAAAAAGCGTTCTGATGGGGGCAACATCCCAAGGTCATCCAAAAACACTGTGTACATATGCCATTCAAACAAGTCACCCCTATTTAAAAATCGCTGAAATTATCTCTATTTATGCCGTAAAAGAGTCAGCACCGGACATTGCCGTACATGAAGAAAAAAGTGAAATTGTCGAAACGCAGGTTTCAGAAAATACTAATGAAGGAAAAGAAACACAGCCTTCTCCTACTGTCGCATTCACACATCCGTTTATGCCGCCCCATCAACGTTTTGTCCAAGGTTGTCTGCTAAAGATGTTATCATCCTAAACAGCCAAAGTGATGGCATTATACAAGGGGACATGCACTACCAGCTTGCTGCTCCTAGATTTTCTAATAAATATGATAGCGTCAAACGATGGCATACGGTTACATTTGCAAACAGGAAGCTCTTTATAGGGCAAGATAGAGATGGCACAAATAAAACGCTTTGCAGCTACAATATCTCTCCAGGGAGCAAACATTTCAAACAATTCGAGCTCATTGTTTCTAGCAAGTGACCTTAAGAGATCACCCTGCACCCAAGGGGATCGTTGAGGAGGGGCCTCTAACATTTCAAATTACTCATCCAAATTTTCTCTCACTTCCCCGGCCCAACAGCATGGATAAAGCGTTTTAAGATTCCCCATCGCTTCATCTGCCTCTTCTTCAGCCATTCCAAACTGTAGCAACGCTGAAAAAGGATGGAGTGCCCGATGTTTCGACGAATATTTCCTTGCGACAGAGAGTGCGTTTCCAAGTACCTTCAACCCTTTTTCAGAAAAAGAACAAACACTAATATTCAGGTCTTGCACGTAGGGCACAATAGAGGCAAGGATGTAGACTCCTTTATCAGAGACCCCTTTGACCTTTAGATAATCCAACTGAAGTTTAGAACGTTTTATAGAGTCTACTAAAGAGAGTAGATTTTCATCCCCTGGTCGAACAATTAAGCGCTTTAGCGTCTTTGGCAGGCCTCTTAAGCAAACTTCTGGCCCAGAATAATTTCTATTACAATCGTGCCATTCATACTCTTCCATTTCTTCTTCTAACCTTTCTTCATCTTCAAAGAAAGCGATGCAACCAAGTGAACAGGATGAAGAAAAATCACAGGACAAAACCTCGGGCACAAATTTCTTCTTCCAGTCCAAGCTAAAAATACATTCAAATTGTGCTACAGATTTACGATTCCAGAAATCGACTAAAGACTTCCAATTTTCCTCTGTAAAAACAGGATTTCTCACACGAAAACACTCTATCGGAATAAAGCGCAAATAGGAAAGAATCGCTTCCATTCCTTGAGCCGTTTCCGAATAACAGGGAATAGGGCGCTTCAAAATGTCTGCTTTGTACGGCGCAAAAGGCAAACAAAGATACGCGTCTTGTTTTTGATGATAGAAGCGAAAGGTATAAGGCATTACAATTTCTTGATAAAGGTCCCTATACAGATCCGCATCACTTCTCTCTTCTTTTAAAGCGTTTAGAACCTCTTGCCATTTTCCAGGAAATTCTTCTTCTATCATCTCCTGATATTGTTCTAAAAGCCTTCTTTTTTCTCCCGACGTTTTATTACCAGATAGCCTCCATTTATATATTTTATCTTGTTTCCCAGCTTTCTTAAAAGAATTTTCGAACAATGATAATCATAATAATTAAGTCGATTAATGATGGTATTTCTTGCTTTTTCAATGTCTTCAGCCTCTCCTACAGAAACTAAAAGATTTAAGATTCTTTCTAATCTATGAGAAAAATTCTGTTCAATGGCTTTATGAAAAACGTCTAAAGCCTCCTGAGCGTCCTCTCGAAAAGTCGGCGTCTTAACAGTTTCACTTTGACTTTTTTGCCCTCCCCTTAAAAAATGAACAATCTTCTGTACTCCTGAAAAACGCGGCGTTTCTTTCTTTGTCACAGGGCTTGGCTTATTTCTTTCTTGCAAAACAGAAATTGTTGAACTGATCCTCCCTAAATCAGCAGGAGAGGAAAACTCAAAAATAACATCCGTTAAAAGGTCTGGTTCTTTCTCATTAATCGCACATACGGTTTCCACCCAAGGAGACACTCTCAAAGTCTCTTCTTCCTCCTCTGAAGCCAAACTGTTCGTGGTGCCAAGCAAGAATAAAGAAACCGCAAAAACGATTCCACTTAATAAAAAAGATCTCCATTTTAATAAAAAAACACACTTAAAAATATTCAACACAAACGCAAACTCTTCTCTTCAAATAAAATTTAAGAAGATAAATAGACGAATATTTAAGAAATCTCAACAAAAAATGGATTTTGTGAATAAAAAAGGGATAAAACTGCATTTCTACTTAGGAGTATGTGCGAAATAGCTGTCTACTAGCAGCTTTATGAAATAATTGCTTTCCCACGCCAAAGAGACAACATCATCAAACAAGCCGTCTCTGCCCGCAGAATTGAAGGCCCCAAAGTCACTGGTGACACACTTTCTAAACGCGTTAAGAGGTGTTTTTCTTCTTGCGAGAAGCCCCCTTCAGGTCCTACCAAAAAGGCAACCTCCTTAAAAGGCGTTTGTGTGCTTTGCAGTAAAGACATCCTTTTTCCTTCTAGGCGCTCATGAGCCCAAAAAATGTGTCCATCATAAGCTTCTGCCCACTCTGCTAAAGGAATAGAAGGCAAAATCTTAGGTGCGCTCAGACGCTCACTCTGCTCTGCAGCTTCAATGGCTCTTGCACGCCATTTATCCTGCTTTTCTACTTTCTGTTGCGTCCGTTCCATGACAAGAGGTTGCAAGGATTCCACACCGAGTTCTGTTGCCTTTTCGATAAGAAATCCCATGATGGAAGGCTTTAGAGTTGAAAAAGCAAGCGTTGTTGCCAATAAACGACAATCCTCATCTCCAGGGCGCAATTGTTCTTCAATCAAACAGGTAACGGTATTCTTCTTATGTGATGACTGTATAGAGGCAGTCCATTCGCCATCACCTTCATTAAATAAAGCAACCTTTTCACCAGTCCCTAAGCGCATGACACGCGTTAAGTAATGCCCTTGTTCATGAGAAAGTGTTACCAGGTCATTCGATCCCAAATGCGCCTCTACAAACAGGCGAGGCGACTTCATTGTTCTCTTTTTTGGAGATGACATTTCTGTGTAGTCCTCTAAATAGCGACTGAATCGTTCCTCTTTTGAATGTTCATTTTTTACAAAAAGCAAAAAAATGCGAAAGGATTTTCTTTTCTATAAGAATAAAAAAGAGGGAGTTGACATCACACAACTCCCCCTTCAAGTCAGCGATTTTCCTCTCCGAAGTTAAGTACTCTTAAATCATCTTCAAGCTCTATGATACCAATATCACTACTGCTATCTTCTAACCCATAGTCAATTTCAAAAGAGTCATCATCACTATCGGATTCGTCAATAAATCCTAGAGTCCGTGCTAAAATATCATACTGACTTTCTAGACGTGGCGCGCTTCTTGTTTTAATCAGC